TAATGATGGCCTCTTACTAATAGTTCAATAATTTGCTGTCTTAGTGATGGTTCAGCTTTCTTGTGCTGTGTGGTTTGCCTACTCTTCCAGGTCAGAACCCCAATGATACCACAAAATGTCAATTTTAAAACAATAAGGTGAACGAAGTAAAATTGCACTAAGCTGGATGGTAATTTTTTTTACAAACTGGTACATCAGGAATGTTGTATATAATTTGGTGGGTTTGCTGTTGATTCTCAGCTTGAATCATTTCAGTATTTTTCCTTGGCTTTTAGCAGTATCAAAAATGTAATTACTTTCTATAAGCCAGCAAGGGTAAATTATTCCTGTGTTGAAGAATACAATGATTGACATCCCTGTGGTTCAGAAAAAGTTCTGATTTTTTGAGACATACAAACCTGTAGCATCGCAGGCTCAATCTGTGGAATCAACTGACCAAGTAAATAGGACGTTAAATTGGCTGCAGTCCCTTGGTTTAGAGGTTGGAGAAATAACCAGAGGTTCCATCCCTACAGCGACCCTTTTTCCAGCAAATATGCTCTGCCACCAGGAGGTGTTGCATTGTCAGTTAACCTGTCACCATTCATTGTCAAGGGGTACCCATGAGGAGAGTTCACTTGGCCAGTGTATCTAGGAAGAAGCAAGAACCAGGGAGATCACAAATACAATCAAATTAGGAGGGGAGGGAAAAAAAAATCAAAAAAAAATAGCAATTATCCTACTGGTTAGATGTTAAGTGGCCTCTCGGTAAGTGCGTTGAAACTAAATGTGGCATTTTCTTTAGAAGAATAAGCCACATCAGGAACTCTTATTCTTATAAATGCAAATATTGATTGAAAGAATCAATATTTCAATCTTAAAAACTTACCCCAGTTAGTGACCTAGAGTCATAGAGATGTACAGAACGGAAACGCACCCTTCGGTCCAACTCGTTCATGCTGACCAGATATCCTAAATTAACTTAGTCCCATTTGCCAGCATTTGGCCCATATCCCTCTTAAACCCTTCCTATTTGTGTACCTATCCGGATGCCTTTTAAATGTTGTAGTTGTACAAGCCTCCGCCACTTCCTCTAGCATTCATCATTTGATGTAGTACATTTTGTGCATTAACTAGAAATAGAAATATAAAAGATATTAGGACCCAGTAAAAATCTAGCAAATCCACCAGACCATTTGCTTAGCTCAGCGTCCTCTAACCATTGTCTTATTCCCTTGTCTGTCCCAGAAACACATCTGTTGCCTGTTGAACCTATTAAAAAAACGTCTGTTTGCTACAGTTACCTTTCCTGTTGATTTATTTCACCTTAGTTTAAAGTAGGGTTCAGAAACTTAGGGATGTCATTTAAAAATTAGGAGTGATTAGGGAATTTGTGCAAATGGCCATATGGAATAAGTTAAACTGGGAAAATATGTCTGAAACAAATGATACAGGTTCTTTAGGAGACAGTTAGGTGCATTTCTTGACAATCAGAAAGATGGAGGGGATCTGGAAAAAAGCTTCAAAATGGGAAGAGCGTTGAATTCAGTCAATAACCTGTTGAGCTGAATTGGCCAAATGGTCTCCTCCAGTTCCTGTGGCTTGATGCCTGCAACACACTTTTTAAGTGATTGGTGGTAGTGGAGATGGGGGTTCACAATGCAAGGAATTGTTTCTGTATAGAGATGACTGATCTGTGCAGATCTATTGCCAGAACTGAGCTGAAGAGATCTGAGGGAACTTGGTTGAAAACGTTTAAAAGCATCTTTGTGGAAATGCTGGCGGGTAGCCGTGAGAGTGTTTCCTAGGGTCAGTGAGGGGATGGCAAAACCCAGTGGTTTTTTGAGAATTCCAGTTAAATTGTGAGTTCACCTCTGAAACAGTCCTAATGAAAAAGCCATGTGTTAGGTGGATGTGTATTTTCAAGTGGGAACCCTTGCATGTTTCTAAAGGCACTGTATATTTTATTTTCTTCTTTCTCTTGGCTGCGATTCAGTCTGAAGCAGTTAGAAACAGTTGCCTAGTCGCATGGCTCATGCGGAATTTCAGCAACGTGAGAAGACGAATTCCCAAGTCAACAAGATAAATGTTCTTTGTATTATTTTTTGTTTTAATGGCTATAAAACATATGTATTAAGAGGTAGTGGTGGTGGGGTGGGGGGGAGGTTGGTGAGTGGTGTGGGAGGAAAAGGAAGTTGAAGTACGTTCTTGCACTGGAAATTGTCTCATTTGTCCATCATTCTAATTTAAGATGGGGGAGGGCAGTGTCTTCATGGTGCTGGTGGTGTGTTAACTCCTGTCAGTAAAAGATAAAGAATTAGACTATCATATTAAACACAATGTACTGGGACAGTCTTAATGAAAAAACGTTAATGGTATTCTTCATTCAGTAGTGTAGCAGTGAGCAGGTCATTAAAGTTCCCCTCATCAGGAACCATATGGAAATGGCTGTAGAGATCTTTAGTAAATTTTTTGAAGTATAATTGAACAGCTGTCTCTGATTAATAGATTAGTTTAAAGCCAGGAAAAGCAGGTAAAACCCAAGGTGAAGGATGCAGCCGCACATTAAATGGATACAATCCCACTCCGGGGACCTCCTTACAGATTCTATATAGTGAAGATACACTTGGAGTTAACAGTATTAATATTGAACTGCTGGCTCCTGTGTCTGAAGCTCGAGAGAACTCGGGTCTGCTCAGATAACTGCGTTAATCCAGAAACTGCTTCTGACCAATTTCACCTGCAGTGGGATATTCCTATCATGCTTGTTTTGAAGCTTTGAATCTTGTTTCCTGATTGTGGGATCATAGAAATTTGTGGTACAGAAAGGGGCCATTCGGCTAGTTTTGTCTGTGGTAGCCAAAAAAAATAAGGCCGCAGCTGGAGGATTTATTTCAACAGCCAAATAATAAAACTTGCACTGCAGTGCACATTTCAGGGAAAAAAAAAACCAAGAGGTTAAAAGCAGTAGTTGATAAAGACTGGGGCGTGGGTTAGGGCACGTGGTTAAGATGTGGGGAGGCAGCTGAGTTGTTACAACTAGAGGAACCGTTGCATAAGACACGTCTTTCTCATTTCTGCTTGACTCCTGACTATGGTATTCCACTGCTGTGTATCAGTGACTGCAATAAATTGAGCTGTGAGAGTGCAGCTGATTAGGCAAGATGTGAGTGGTCTTTACAATTGACCTCTGTTGCTATTAGAGGTCTCTGGCTTATATTAATTTACCAGTTAAGAGAATGCTACATGATTCAGTCCATGCATGTTTGTTAATTATTGAAAAATAGCTTTTGGTCAACTGTATTATAATTTATTCTGCCACAGCATCAGATTAAAGCCAATAAAAAATTGACTTCTGTTGAAATTTAAAAAATGATGAGAGCAGCTACACAGATATCCGGCAATCTCTTTTTTTCCTCTCCTCTCTCCACCCCTACAGTCTGTAAAGTCAGGGAACATAGCGTTATCCTAACTCCTCTTTTTTGAACCATCAGCACTGGAATTCCTTAGTTGTCCCAGACCCTCTGATACTTGATTTCAAATTCCACTGAAATCTCGTCCCTCCTAGATTTAAAAAAAAACGTCGGATATTGACATTCGGCTCTTTGAAAAATTCTATCCAGTTTGTTCCACTTGCCCTGCTCTTTCCCTTTGGTCCTGCAAACATTTGCTTTGAGTATTTATTCGATTCCCTTTTGAAAGTCACTGCTAGTTACTTTCAGGCAGCGCCGAAAGGAAGTATAACGGCTCAGCCTGTATAATGCAAAGAAAATGAATTATTCTTGCTTCAACTCTTTCTAGACTTGAATATTCAAAATTTATTGTCCCCAAATGTATGATTTTTGCTTTTGTTCCCACTCATTTCAGCAGCATGGTTGGGTGCCTGTAAAACAGCCCTGTGTTTATAAACCAGCAAGACATGCACAGATTCTCTCCTTCCTGCACTTAGGTCTGAATTACACAAAGATGGTATACGTTGGGTCAGATGACCTTTTATTTTTCCTCCCTGCGTCTGACACTGCTTACCAGTGATCAAGTAGCTGTTGATGTAGGAAAGGCACAATCTGCCCAAGGATCATATTGTCTTTCGTTGATTTTTGGTGTTGAGGTTGATATCCTTGAACCAAATTCTATTTATGCGTTGTCCCATGTGCTCACCAGCTTATATTGGCTGCCATTCCAGCGACACTTCGAATTTAAAACTCTGATCCTTAGATTTCAAATCCCCCTGTAACTTTGTTTGGCAGCCACCCCTCAATCACCATCCAACCACATTTCTTAGCTATAAGGAGAAGTTGGACAAACTTGGATTGTTTTTGCTCGAGTGTCAGAGGCTGAGGGGCATCCTCAGAAGTATGTAAAATTATGAGAGGCATACCTCCATGCATAGTCAGATGGACATAGGATTAAGGTGAGAGGGAGAAAGTTCAAAGAAGATTTGCAAGGCAAGTTTTTTTACACAGGGTGGTAGGTACCCAGTACGCACTGTCAGGGAGGTGGTAGAAACAGATACAATAGCAACTTCTAAGAAGCATTTAGACAGAGACGGGCAGGGAGTAGAGGGATACGGACCTTGTGCAGATAAATGGGATTAATTTAGAATGGCATGGTGGTTGGCGAAGACACGGTGGGCCAGAGGGCCTGTTCCTGTGCTATGCTGTTCTGTGTTTAATAGTAAACTGTTCCAGTCCTCACACCCTTTAGGATCTCCAGTTGTTGCCTTTTGTGTATCTCCCACTTCTCAGTTACTCTGTGCCTTCGGTTATCCAGACCTCGTGTTCTGAAATTCCCTTGATAAACCTCCAGCTTTCTAGCTCTGTGTTCCTATCAACACTCCTTAAACCTACTTTGATATGCTTATGCTTTAGTCAGTTGTCCTCATATTTGCTTCTATGGTGCATATCAAGTGCATCAGGACACTTTGCCATGTTAAAGTGCTATATGAATGAAGGTTGCTTTTGGTAATATTTTAGATTGTATGAGTGATTATATTTTAAAGCTCATTTTCTGTTTTCTTGCAGGTAAAGATGAGCCTTCAAGCTACATTTGCACAACATGCAAGCAGCCTTTTATGAGTGCTTGGTTCCTGCTCCAACATGCACAGAATACACACGGATTCCGGATTTACTTGGAAACGCATCCATCGAACAGTCCCCTTACCCCTCGGATTGGCCTTCCCCCCTCCTTGGGACCAGACCCAATCTCACAGTCCCCCCTTACTACTTTTCTCGGTGAGAACAATCCTTTCAACCTGCTGCGGATGACTGGACCTATACTTCAGGAGCACCCGGGCTTTGGTGATGGCCGTCTCCCCAATACTCCTCCCATTTTCAGCCCGCCGCCTCGCCATCATCTAGACCCGCATCGTCTGGACCGCCTTAATGCTGATGAAATGGGCTTGGTATCTCAGCATCATAGTGCCTTTGACAGAGTAATGCGCTTGAACCACCCACTGGGTATCGAATCCCAGTCTATGGACTTCTCCAGGAGGCTCCGAGAACTAGCAGGGAACAACAGCTCCACTCCGCCCTTGTCGCCCAGCCGTCACAATCCTATGCATCGCTTGCTTCAGCCCTTCCAACCCAGCCCCAAGTCACCATTTCTGAGCACTCCGCCACTCCCCCCCATGCCCCCCAGCAGCACAACTCCTCCTCAGTCACAGTTGAAGAGCAAGTCCTGCGAGTTCTGTGGGAAGACCTTCAAGTTCCAGAGCAATCTGATAGTCCACCGACGTAGCCACACGGGGGAGAAGCCGTACAAGTGTCAGCTGTGCGACCACGCCTGCTCCCAGGCCAGCAAGCTGAAACGTCACATGAAGACGCACATGCACAAGTCAGCCTCCGTCACGGCCAGGTCAGACGATGGGCTGTCCACCACGAGCTCACCTGAACCCGGCACCAGTGAACATGCAAGCGGGGAGGGATGTGGCCTGAAAGCCAACATAACCAATTTCAACACTGGTCAAATGAATGAGAACGAGGAGGAAGAAGAGGAGGAGGAGGAGGAAGAGGAAGAGGAACTGGAAAATGAAAGCCGGCCCGAGTCTAGTTTCAGTATGGACTCCGAGCTGAGTCGCAACCGAGAGAATGGCTTCAAACTGCCAGTGAATGAAAAGCACTGTGTTCTGGGCAAAGTCATGGAAAATGTAGGTCTCCGTGCAATCCAACATTACAGTGACGTGCTTACCGATAAGCAGAAGCGTAATAGCTTCTCCAAACGATCCTCCGACGGTCAGAGAGACACTGGAGATGAGGACTCTGTCGCAGGCGAACTGGATCGACCAGAAGATGGCACAGTGAACGGAAGAGGCTTTGGTCCTGGTGAATCTTTCCCTATCACGTTGCCTCGGAAACCACCTCTCATCACTAGTCCCTCTCTGTCAGTCGCTTCTTCAAAAAGAATTAAAACGGAGAAAGACCTGGACTTGTCCTCGGCACCTTTAATTCCCTCTGAGAATGTTTACTCTCAATGGCTGGTGGGCTACGCAGCATCAAGGCACTTCATGAAAGACCCATTCCTGGGATTCGGCGACTCTAGACAATCTCCTTTTGCCACTTCCTCTGAGCACTCCTCGGAGAACGGCAGCCTGAGGTTCTCCACACCGCCTGGAGATATGCTGGATGGGGGACTCTCGGGCCGCAGTGGCACAGCCAGCAGCGGCAGTACCCCTCACATGGGAGGGCCCGGCCCGGGGAGGCCGAGCTCCAAGGAAGGACGCCGGAGCGACACTTGCGAGTACTGCGGCAAAGTGTTCAAAAACTGCAGCAACTTGACAGTGCACCGCAGGAGCCATACCGGCGAACGGCCTTACAAATGCGAGCTCTGCAACTATGCATGCGCCCAGAGCAGCAAGCTGACGCGCCACATGAAAACGCACGGCCAGATCGGCAAGGAGGTTTACAGGTGCGACATTTGTCAAATGCCCTTCAGCGTTTACAGCACCCTTGAGAAACACATGAAAAAATGGCATGGAGAACATTTGCTGACAAGCGACGTAAAAATCGAACAAGCAGAAAGAAGTTAAAGCTCCTTGAAGTAAAAGAGACTTGGTTTTAAAAAAAAACACAAAAAATTCAATTGTAAAGCTTAATTAATTGCCAACTGAGAAAGTCGGCCCAGAGTGCCTCCTGTGGCACTTAAATATTTTCAAGGTATAATTTGTGTCTGAGAAGCTCAATCAAACCTGAGGGTGATATAGAGGCAGTAAAATAATGTTGAGCCTTTTCAACTGTGCAATAATTTCTGTATTTATTGTTTTTTTTTAAAATATTTTTTCAAGCATCATGTGCAGGTACTTTTTTTCCTTTTCCTTTTTATTTTTTGTTGTTTGAAACTTCTTTTTGTTTTGTTTTGGGTATCCCTTTTGATTTTACCCACTTTTCAAAAAAACAAACCTGAGATTACTTGCATTTTGAGGTGCAGACCTGTAGAAATAACCCTTGACCCGGGCCACTGCTTATGTGGAATTTAATAGTTAAGCTACTCAACGCAGTAATTTCTTGAATAGAAGCCGCGTTTATTCATTCTTTTATTTTTTTTTTTAAATATGGGGAGGAAGGATTGGAATTGCACAAATTTTTTTTGAATTGTAAGATGAGAAAAAGCCACAGCGGATCACAATCCTAATCGTAGCACTTAATAGGCTTTTATCACAAGCTGGGTTCGAAATGTAGCACTGATCTTGCCAGCCTATGGTGTCTGGAACTGCCACTGTCGCTTTTCATCAAAGACGCCTGCCTAAACCTAACACAGTTAATAACTTTTTAAACAAAAAAAAAAGCAGTAGGCAAATGAGAGAGGCAGTTTACTATCTGGTATCCAGTTGTACCAGCCAGAAACTTAACCTAAGCAATAACGGACTTTTTGTTGTGTTATTAATTAGTGAATAAAATGCACAGCGAAGTAAATCTGAGCAAAGTCAAAAGTGCATTATTGCCAACACCTAAGGAAACATCTGTGCTCGATTGTGAGCGATATGCATTATTGTAGAAATGCACTGCTATTTTGCCATTAGGAGTAGATGGTCTTTGGCCATTGTGTTAAATAGCTAAATTTGTACCTGAGATATTTCCTTTTTTTGAACCCGCACCTTAACATATTTGTTTTTTTAATTATAGAAACTGCGACTTCTGAACAAGAAACTATGGGAAATCTATGGTCCAAAAGGGTTATGGTATACATTAGGGAACAACTGAGATTAAAAGTGTCAGTGTTGCTTAGCATAGCATTCACAATGCTGGCACTATAAAAAAAAATGTTAATGTCAGTTGACGGTTTTTATACTGCCATTCAATTTGACATGAGTGCCTTGAATATTTGATCTTCCTAATGAGTCTCTGAGACAAATGCAAAACCATTTTTTGTGAAGTTAAAAAAAAAGTACTGATTTGAAGAAGAAAAAAAATCACACAACAAAGAGAAAAATATACGTCATATTAGATTCTAGAGTTCTACACGCACCAACAATCCAGCATTTGTAAAACAAAACAAAAAATAAAATCAGCGGAACTTCACGCCAGCCGCTACAAGTTGGTGAAGACGAAACAGCATCCCTTCCCCCCACTTGCCCCCCCTACCTATCTAATCAACTTCGGAAAAACAGTTTGACGGTCTGTACTCATCAATTGACGCTGCAGGACGCTGCTTAAACTGTGGGAACCCCACTGTAGCAAGGCTCAAAAGTTTTTTAAAAAAAAAAAGACGCCTCCAGAGTCCCAACAAGAACGTAAAGACAGTAACTCATCAGGAACAATGGCTACTCCTTATTTTTTTTTGTTCTGAACAGAATTAGTGCACTCAGTCTCGAATAAGTTTACAGTATTGAATATATACAAAGGTGGAAAAAAAACAAAAAAAATTGTGTGTGTGTGTGTGTGTGCGCGTGCGTGTGTTTGTTGAATGATCAAGAGATTTTTTTTTTCCGAAGTTTGCTTAGTAAATACATGGATGCCATTATGGCCATGTGTATATTGGTTCTCTGATTCAACTGGTGAAGGGGTTTAATATATATATTACAGTTTCTTGATCACTGTAAAAGTGTACCAGTATTTGTAATAATGGAGAATGCCTGGGCATTTTACAAAATGGAGAAAAAAAAAACAAAAAAATTTTTTTTTCAAAAATGGAAATTGTTGCAGTAAATTTGTGGGTCTAAAATTGTACTTGTCACTGTAATTGTAAAGTCTAATTGACTATCAGTTTTAGTAGACTTTTTTGCCTTGGGTGTTTTATCTTTTTTCAAAAATTGTATAGAACTTGTATTGGGAAGAACGATTACTGCTACCATATGTAGACAAGAAAAAAAATAGTAGAAAAGTGCATATTCATGTAATTGCTTTGCTTAAATCACATTCCTGACCTGTACTTTTTTCCCTCTGTTTCTCTGGAATGGTTACTTGGTATTGGTTCATAATAGTGTAGGCACTTGCTGTATTTATACAGGAGCTTGTATTTTTTAACTGTTTGCTTGTCCTTTTAAAGGTGCGACAAAAAAGTACCTTTTTTTTTGGTAGTGGATTAGAAAAAGAACACACAGGCTGCCATAATATATTTTTTTAATTTTGGCAGGATAAAAATAGTGCAAAAATAATTTGTATGTTCTGAAATCTTATTGTACAGGAGAAAAAGAAAGGTCGTGTAACGACCTTTTGTTAAAAAAAAATACAAAAAGGAATTAGGAAATGCATTGCTGGTCACTGATAATTTGATTTTCATTTGTACAGTTTCCCTCCCAGATTCCCTGTTGGATATGCACGGTTTACAGTTTTGCCAGTCTGTTTCATTTTTTTTTTCTTCATGATTTGCTGCCTTTGCTCTCCCTATTCTCATGGACTCAATTCAAATCCATTGTGGTCAGAGTCAGATCAATGTAAATCGGACTGAATGAAAACTAAAATATGTTGCATTTCGCGCTGCTTTAAGGGTCATTCAGTACGTGACATTGAAGACAGATAAATTGAATTGTATTGTGTCCATGTTGGGCAGTTGTATGCTCACAGGGATGAGAAGTTTCATTGTTTTGGGCACATTTCTGCCTTTCATAAGTTTTGTAAAATAGTTGCCCAGCTTTTTGTTTGAAGAAAATAATGATTGAATTAAACTATGATGTTTGCAGTATGTAGTGACCACTAGGTGTCACTGAAACATTCAATTGTCAGTGCGCTAGCGACCACTAATGGTAGTGAACAAATACTGCATTTTTCCAAAATGGAACTCCCTTCAATGGTTCTTTGTTATTTTCTCTTGGAACTCCTTTCTTGTCCCTGATGCATCCACATTATGTGCATGGCACTATTTTGTTTTACATTTCCATGGGGATTTGGGTTTCAGGCCTCCTTGATCTGCTGCTGTGTAAAACTGATGAGGCAGGTACAAGTATATGTTGATCTAACTGCCATTTGGTTTTTTTTAATTTTGTGTTAACAGGATCATTCACTCCTTTTTTCACATTCCACGGGTTCCTCAACGTATGTAATAATAGGTAAGAGGTGGGATGAAACCTTTTGTATTTTGACACTTTGAAATTTGCACTAAAAGGCAGAAATGAAACAAAAACCACCCTGGATGAATAATCTGTATAACCTTTAACTGTTAAGGTCTGAAATATTATCACTCCACTACCTAAGACATGGGCAGCATTCATTAAACTCCACGTGTTCAAAGTTGATTATCAGTTGATGGGCTAAGTGGCTTGAAATATCCAATTGTTAGTGAGTTTGATATTCAGACATTCCAGTGCATTTCTGTGAATAAAATGTAGCATGAAAGCTGTAGAGGCTCCATTGCATATCTGTTGATCTGCAACAGCTATCACTGTTTGGCCTAGGTTGTGTCAGCTGTTGACAGTTACACATTTTTAATTGATTTTACCAATATAGGGTAACCAGGGACTATTTAAGCATTCTTCTCTAGCTCTAGTGGAAAGTGTTCACGACAATTTTCCCTGCATCATTCTTATTACCGCGAGTAATTTAGTGAGATGGAAGGAGGTTGATCCAATATTAACCTAAGCCACGGCTGAGTGTCAGCCCCGTGAGTTCAAGAGATGCACCTCCCACTGGTTGGACACCAGAAACAAAGGTATCAACTTTGACAGACAATATTCATTGGCCAAAAAGAAAATGTTAAATTCATTATGTCAAGAAGGAATAATTCATGGAGCCAACTTCTTTAGTGTACCACTTCATGGGGCTTCTGGCAGTCGTCTTAGCATGTCAGTCAAAGTTTTTTTTAACTTCCCTGTTTACATCTTCCTTGTAAAACAGGCAGACAGCAGAGAAAGCACTTTGCTGAATTCTGCAAATGATGCACCTGTCATTACTGCAGTGATATATTAGATCAGAAATTTGATTTTAGAATAATATGCTGTCATCAAATGGTCACTATTATTAGATTCCATATGGAAGTTTTTAGATTATAATTGGTTTCCACAACGTTTGTTTTACCAGTATAAGTTACCAACATGCCCTCACTGTTCTGTTTTCTAAGTGGTCTTGGCACTGGAAAGCTTTAAGGAAAACATTGGTAAACAGGCAGCAGTACAAAAGTGTATAGGAAGGAGCATTCTCTTGTTTGAGTAGGTTTCATACCACTGAGAGGAGGCAGGGAACTAGATCTAATGTGTTACAGCAATATTTTACAGCATAATCTTTTCAGCCACAAAGGGAAAAAGACAGTCATCGTGGCGAAAACTAAGTATTTGTATATTGGCAGCCACTGCGTATATTACAATGGACACAGGTTTACAGAACTAGATAAAACCTAGATTATATATCTAAGTTTTCAAATTTTATCTGTGAAAGATTGACGGAATGGGGAAAAAAAAAAAAATTTTGCTTGAAGTGTCAGATTCCAGTACTTGGTGCTGAAGAAATAATGAACTCAAAATTGAGGCAGTGTAGCAGTTGCACAATGGATTTATATAGAGAACTCATACCTGCTTCCTTAAAGTTGACAAATCATTCAAAACAAAAAAACCATCATAGTAGTTTATTGTATCGGCATCCTGCCCATGACCACTTTATGTTGGATGAGTTTAGGATTAATTGATTTGCATGCTCCTTCATATAGTGGTGTTCAATGCTCTGATATTGGTCTCCATCAGTATTCAGTGTTTGGGCTGTGCTATTTCAGCAGCTTCTGACATTGTGTGCCACTACACAAGATTCGCCTCCCCATGCTGCCATTTACCACCAACCAGTCAACATTGTGTGCTTTCAATGAGGATTTTTGCAAGGAAAAGTACTGACGAACATTCAAAGGTTAAGAGCTCACGTTTCATCCCACCTCTGTTAAATACAGTCCACAGGTTGTTTTATCATGACCAAAACACTTTAACGGTGCTGTTGTATTTTTAAGAATTGTACTTAAAATGCAAAGCAAATCAATGCCACTTGAGTTGGACCTATTTGTAATGGCAAGGCAAAATATTTTATTAGCTTTTTTCTATTTCTGTATTTAGAGCTTTTTATTGTAACTTGAGATTTGGTCTTATACTACAAGTTTGAACTATTTATTATTGCTTGTGTTGTGCTCTGTTTAAAACAGATGCACATTATCCTTTTTTTTATGTTGAAGTGCTGACCAGAGGTCACATCAGCTTGGCTTTGTGAAATATTTATTGTTCTGTTTTTCTGTACAAAATCAAGCCCTCTCCTAATCCACACTGTTTTCAGCTTGTGTCTACCATTTCATTCATACACTCATCCAAATGTTTGTCCCATTTTCAAGTGAAAGAAATAAATCAAAAATTATCTTTACAATCTTCAAACTTTTACCTTTTCTGCCTGTTTTTCCCACTCCCTTCTCAGTATGTGGGTTTAACAATAAATGTTCAGCAGTGAGCACGTGCATGACTCATGGTATCACAGGTCAAGTTGAGCACAATCAAGACTCCGATAATAAAACCTTCGATAGCACTACAAATGATGATGGAACATATCTGCACTTCATATTGTGACATCTGGCTGAGTCCTAACGGCCCACTCATCCTGTTGAGTAGGTCAGTAATGCTCAGAATTTTTTTTTAATAGGCTATTAGTCAGTGCGTAAGTAAGCAAGAACACATTGTGGCATACAGCACCATCATGGATTAACCAATGCAACCTTTTAGAGCCATCTTTTAGTAAATAACTTCTCATGCTCAGTTCATACCAATTGGACATCATTTCATTCTTTGAATGTTGTATATACACACACACACAAATCCATTGGTACTCTCCATTTCTTCACTCTTTGCTGTTCCCTTATTTTGAGAAGACAGTCGTCCCATTAGTTTATTTTCATAATTGCACTTATTTCATATCTATTGGCAGCACCAGTTTATCAAAAGCTGTGTTTAAAAACAATCAACTGGGTATCTTACCATAAGAAATGGAATCTTATGTGTCTACCTTTTGTGAAAGTTCCTTTTTTACATAAGACATTAAATGAGTCATTTTAATTAGGATTCTTTGATCCAAAAACTTGATCCTGTTCCATCTACAATACAAGGCAAAAAACAGAAACTGCTGGAGCAACTCAGCAAGTCTGGCAGCATCTGTGGAGGGAAAGCAGAGTTAATGTTTCAAGTCCAGTGACCCTTCATAACATAAAGCAGTTGGTTCTTTTCAAAGATGCTGTTTTTAGAAATTTTTAAAAATAATTTCCTGTTTTAGAATGCATCCACAGTGAATGATGATCAGAAACAAAACTTGAAAATCTTATGCAAGATTTAATGACACAATGTTTCCAGCACTGACAAAGAATTAGGGACACATAATGTAATGAAAAGCAGATCAACCGTCTTAGACAGTGGACTGCTTTATTGAGAAAGAAAACACACTCAATAGAAGTATTTCTGAGTTACGTGTCTTGGCTGATATGAAATATAGAAACAACAGTGGATCTCTTCAAGCTTGTGGAAGCCAAGTCCAGCCGAAGTACAAGACGCTAAGTGCAATGGCTTTGAACAACTTTGGCTGATTTGTAAATGGAGTGAGCAAAAAGACTTCTACCTTGCAAAATATTCAGAATGGATGAAAGCCATGAAGCCTAATTCCCACCCCCATTAGTCAAACATTTTTTTTTTCAGAAGCACATATACCCCTCTCAAATCAACATACATTGCCCATGTGAATGGCCTTGATTGAGACTGTGTTCCACAATGTCTGCCTTTGAGTACACTTGTTCCAACCGATTTCCCAGTTTAATTTCTTTCGTTGTAACTTGTAGCCCTGGCATTAAAGAACAATCCTCAGGTCAAACATTTTTAGGGGGAAGGTAATGGCCCAGTGGTATTATCGCTGGACTGTTAATCCAGAGACCCAGATAATGTTCTGGGGATAGTAGGAACTGCAGATGCTGTAGAATCTGAGATAACAAGGTGTAGAGCTGGATGAACACAGCAGGCCAAGCAGCATCAGAGGAGCAGGAAGGCTGACGTTTCGGGCCTAGACCCTTCTTCAGAAAAGGGTCTAG